CATTATTCACCAAGATTCGAGCCACAAGATTGTGAATATAAAGATCCTTACGAAAGTAACCCAAGAACTTGGACTCCTTGTAAAGCGTTAACATGTCAGTAAAGTAACCTTCTTGATAATACGCTAATAGCATTAGTTTGTATGTTTTTTCGGATAATGTGATTTGCCTATCCAAAGATTGCGCGTAAACCATCCAGAGATACTTAAATTTTTTTTGCTTTGCGCAATATTCAATTACTTGTCCATAAATGCATCCGAGATTTGAAGTGCGCGTGCGCTTTAACAACAGTCTTGCCGTGGTCATCTCATTCCGATTCAGGCAAGCATCGACCATCATTTGAACCAGCTCAAAATCTGGCGATGGATTGACGGTAAGCAATTTTCCGTAAAATTTTTTTGCTTTGTCAAGATCATTTTGATGAATAAATGTTTGAAGTAGTATGGTGTAAATTTCTTCCAACAATGATGTTTGCCACGATGGCATCTTAACAACTTCTGAATATTCATCTTTTTTATTAATAGCAATGTCATCGTGATTTATTACTTCATTGTCAATGTTTTTGATATTATTGGCGGGAATACATTTACGAATACCACCACCACTCATATCGACAGGCTTTTTAGGAAAAATAATGCCCGGTGCAACCAATCCTTCCTTTACAAAGTCTATGAAAATTTGTCCTGCATAAAATACATCATTGTTTACTATGAACCCATCAATTAACGCGGCATAAGCATCCATATCTAACCTAAAATGTTGTGATCTCACTTCACTTAAATATCTCTTTGCCAAATCAGTATCCTTGCCACCTTTGCCCATTAGACATCTTAAGAGCTCGCTGTAATCAACAGCTCGAAGAGTAAATCCCTTTCCCCTCATCTCCTCAAAAGTTTCCATTATACCTAATCGATCTTTGGTCTTTCGATGTGAAACTAGCAGCAGATGATAATCATCGTGTGTAAGTTTGAATCCGTGATCCAAAGCCGCCTCCAATACTGAAACAGTGTGTGGGGGATGTATTTTAGAAAAATACTCTGCAAGACGTCGTAAATCATGCAACGAAACACTCTTAAGATTATCTGAATCATGCAACAATTCCTCGAAAATTTCGTGGATCCTCCAATACTTTGACTTGCTGTTTCTCGACGATAAAAGTGCTCTGATCAGTCTTAGTGGGGTATAATCGTCAACAAATTTTTTCCATTCTTCGGTTTTCTCTTCAATCTCCTCCGATGTCCTAGTGTCTAATTTGGAAAAAGTTTCTTCCGATATCTCTTTTTGGCGAAAATTTGTTAATTGAACAAATTCTAGTTTCTGTTGAGATGCGATGATTTTGCTGATGGCCTTCATCTGACTGGAAAGAAATAGGGCTTGAAACTTTTGCCTTTCGGAAATATCTTTACCAAGCCTCAATTGTTCCATGAAGATTCTGGCTTGTTTGCGAATTTTTGATTTTCGCCTGACGAGAAGACGTCGTTGTTTGTATAATGATGCTAACTTTTGTCTCGATAATTTCCTAAGCAAGAGAACTTTAGGACGCGTTTCTTCTTCTATCATTTCTCCTTCATCCATCGCCTCATTTAGCTTACGATCTTGGCTATTTTCTTCATTTGAATTAAAAATTGATGAAAACCTTCTGTTACAGTGGTGATGAATAAGATTTTTGCGGAAAAAGGGGGGATAGAGAAACGGTAAGAATGAATTGTTGTTCGAAAGGTTTAACGGTATTGCAGATGTGATTTGGGTCGATTTATTTACTGTTCTTAAAGCATCGAATGATCGCACAACTTTCTCTGACGGTTTGATGTTACATCTAATGTTTCTCGAACTGCGTAAAATGCCACTCAAGCGTGTCATTATACTTGGATGATTGTAGATTTCATATTTTGCTTTTCCGAAAAAAAAATGTATTCGGGAGAGAAACGAGTTAATGATCGTCGAAAAAAAAAATTTTTTTTAACTTAATGCAGTACGTACATAAATGTCACGGGATACGGTATACTGTATACGTAGATAATAGTACTATATTAATAGCTATTTTATTATTATTATTATTTTAATATTTTATCAAATGTTGAATTATTATTATTACACCATTGATGACGATTCAATATTCTTTATAAATATAAATATGTTCTGTTTTCGATACTTTTGAGCAAGATAACATTAATAACAAAGTATCGTGAAGCGCAAGAAATTAGAAAAACATGAAATTTTATCACGAAAAGATAAATGAAAAGAAAAAAGATCTATTACGCAAGGGTTAGCAACGCAAGTGCCTCACATCCATTTTGGAACGATCTTACCGGGAGATATCGAGAAGATTGTGTTTACCAAGAAGGATCGACTCTACAGATTTGCGTACGAGCTTGTCGAATGGATTCTTGGCACGAACAGTACAATGATCTTGGTACTCGGTTCGGACGTCAACGTTGATGACACCAAATTTGGTGAGCTTGTCGAAAATCTATTATTAATTAATTGTTACAAACTTCACGGCAAGACACAATGGGCTCAGATCAGCTGAAAATTGAAAACGACAAAGCAAGATTAAAAGCACGAAAGATACGGGATTACCCAACGCCCGAAGAAAGAGAAAAGCTAAAAAGTGGATAGGAAATGTGAGATGGACGTACAACAATGTTCTTAAGATGGTTCGGGACGATGGAATCACCGACATGAGGGTCATACGAAAGCACTACCTGAACGATAACTGAAGAACCCTGGGAAGTACCTCATACACGATTCGACAACTGATGGCCGCATACAAATCAAACAAGAAATCGCGTGGAAATAATTTTCAAATGAAGTATCGATCAAAGAAATCATCTCGATTCCTACTAGGGATTGGAATAGGGACAGGGAAATACGTGTTCCTAAAAAATATTATTACCTCAGAGCACTCACTAGATATCAACAATATTGTTAACATAACTACGAATTATTCGAGACTTTTTATTTGTGTTTCCGTTTCTTTTGATATAATTGATCCAGGTGTTCGCACGTTTGTGACTGGTTATAACCGAGGGGGTAACGGTGATTTTAATAAAATATCTAAATTATATAAGCGATAAAGATCTTGCATTGGGAAAACTAAACAAGA